CACCCTCTGCAAACTTGGTCACATCGCTTCCGCAATTAGTCACTACACCCGAAAAGTCATACCCAACAATCTGCGGCCTGTTCAAACAGTATTAGCTTCAAATCAAGCATCATATTTACCAAAAAACCCACGACAAATCTGCAGAACAAAATTCTTAATGTTAGTAAGCAAAGCAAAATATACCTTGAAATAAGTATATCACGTGCATGGATACTTTGATAATGTCAATTTCGCTAATGTAAAATAAAAAATATGAAAATTCACTGATATGACATTATGGTGGCAATCCTACTCCAAGACATCATCAGTAGCCGATGAACGACAATGCGTAGTCTGCTGAAAATTATTGAGTACGACATTAGTAAATTAATGATGAACCTCACTGATTGTAAGCGCACAACTGATCAAGATTGATATTTCCACTATATACAACTTGGCTGGAGAGTAATGCGATTTAAGTCATGCAGAGTAAGTTTTGAGTCAACTATGAGTTCTGGCTTGGAGGTTGGCCAAGCGTAGTACTTTTCATCAATGCAAATTGGATTTGGCCTATGCGTTTTAATATATTCACCATACATAGCTTGTGTATATTAGAACAAAGTAAATTTGTGTTACTCGCAACAGTCGGCCCTTATCATAATTTGCATCCGTATTTGAATGAATGCTTACGACAAAGCAATTGAACGACCTGTAGAACGAACGCATCCTTGTCTTAATCATTATAATATAAGTAACATCTACATAGACACAAGGATTACTGTATTTCAAATGTCGTTTCAGACATACGAAAAAATATCCTTTTGGTTGATTTTAATATCGTTTCAAGGGGTATTGCTATGTTTTTGATACACTTAGATGCCGTGCTCATCGTTCATGTCCGGCGTATTTTTGGCTCGCGTCCGACTTTGATGTCCAGCTTTCTATTGATCAGAAGCAGCGAAGTCACTTTTGATCGTTTCATGTAGGCAGAATAAAAAAATGCCTCAACTTTTGCCATATATAAAAAAAATATCCCAACTTTTCAGAAAATAAAAAATACCATTTTTTTATTCTCCCTTTCATGGAATTAAATGTCCAATGTCTGTCTTTTTTCGAGTTTTATTAAAATATGATACTAAGAAAAGTGGAGTGGGGGATAGCAGCGGGCCCTGACCACATTCTCAGAATTCATCGTATCAGACGTGTTTCAAAATTGATATTGTTGCTTCTGTTAATTAGATAAAGATGGTCACGTTTCAGAACTCGGCGATGTGTGTATTTCTTGAAAAAATCGTGGCTGTCAGAACATCGCTGGATCAGTGTTCATAATGCTTCGGTGAAAC